TTGACAAGCACTGTGGCATTTGGACAAGAACAAACTGGGAGGAGGGTAGAGAGAATAGTGCAACAATGAATGAATGGAAACCCAAAATCTCTGAAAATGTTTATGAAAATTAATAAAATATAATTATAGGGGGAAAAAAGTGCATACCAAAGTGGACAAGGGAAGGCGGGGTAGGAAATTATGCAACAATGAATAAATTAATTTTTTAAAGTTAACTAGGGGTGGGTAGGGAGGGAAATATGCAACAATGAATGAATGAAAATCCAACTTTTCTGTAAACTTGTTCAAATCACAATAAAAAAATAAAATAAATCACAATAAAAAGAATGAGAAGAAGAAGATTTCCATTTCCTACTTCTTTTAGGTTCTACTCTTTTCCAAAAAGGCAAAATAGCTTGGAGGGTTGGAATGGAAAAATTTTTGGGGATAGTATGTGCTGAACCACTTCAGTTCCACATAAATCCTTCTCCCTTATGCTGGGTAATATCTAACCCACTCTACATTTACAAAAAGCTTGAGAGTCCATGTTCATTTCTCCTTATCTTCTACTATCTATCCCCAGGACATTTGAAACAGTTACAACAAAATCCTTTGTATTTCTGCCTGCCAACTCCTTTACTTCTTTCTGGTGTTTTGGGGTTTTTTGTGGGGTGGGGAGAGAGAGGGGAAGGGGAAGGTTTACTGTTTGTTTATCTTCAAGTTATATTTTCTTTTTCCAAATAAACACAAGACTAATGGCAATACTTATGTAACCTGGAATTGAGATTGTTAAAGTAGCATCTATAGTAGATTCATGTTTATTAGAAAACTATGCAAAAATGGTTCTTGGATGACTCACAAAAAGATTACTCCCCATTTATCCTCAAATCCCAACCACTCAACTAAGAACTTTTAAATAAATTGGACTCTTATTTTAGGGAAGAGTCAGGATTTGATGGTGAGAGGAAAAGGAAAAACAAGCAAGGAGACCAGGCAGGGAAAAGTACTTTCATCTTAATGGTCCTTTAGGTTGATGTATTTTTCCTAAAGAAATCTAATCTGCAATGCAAAATATATAGGGAATGAATGAGCCAGATATTCACTGTGGGGTGACCCTCCTTGGCAATCTCCTCTTTATTGAGGCTGATTTTACTTATTCTTTCCAAGGACGGGTTTCCTCACAAGCGATGGACATTTGCTTGCCTTTTTAGGATCAGAACTGGAGTCCTGCTGCCGCACCGGGCCGTTCTTGGCTACTATAACGTCATCTACAGTCACTAGCTGTAGCACTACATCAGCCACTACTTGAAGGCCTTGGGCTTTGGTCAAGAAAGGGTCCCACACCTGCTCCTGGGTCACATTGATTATCCCTTCTTCTCCCACTCCTATGAGAAAGTTCCCAGCTTGGTGAGCGCTGTACATTTCTGCCATCACCTTGGGGACAGCTAAACCTGTATTCTCTGCCAAGGTTTCCGGAAGAGTTCTCAAGGCCCGGGCAAAGGCAAGGAACGCAGGACCGCAGGGCCCTTCCAGTTGGCGACCTTTTCCTGAAAGCAGTGTTGCCAGGGCCATCTCTGTGGCTCCAGCACCTGGAAGCAGTCTGGGATCCTGACACAGCTGGAAGTAAGCATCAATACCACGGTAGACAGCCTGCTCTGCATTTCTAAGCCCCTCAGCAGTAGGCCCTCTGAGGACCAAGGTGAGGGCAGGGGCGCTCTGACTATCCCATTCAAATATCACAGCCACATGTCCTCCCAGATCCAGTCCGTAGACCCTCTGGCACGTCCCTGGCACCACCGGAGGCAGTAGATAAGGCAGCAAAGGTGTGCCCAACACCTCACTTAGGTATGTCATCTCCCTCCGGGAGGTGGCTTCAATTACCATAATGCCAAACTTATCAGCTTGTAGCAGGGTCTTCTCGTCAATCTCCCCCCACACCACCACCACATTGATATTCAGAGCTGCTAGCTGGGATACCTGCTTGTCAATCAGTTCCTGGTTCCCTTTCCTGAATTTAGACAGGTCTTCAGGATTAGAGAGACGAGCAGTTGCCGGTGTGTGGGGGCTGGCTGGTCCAAAGGGGCAAGCAAACAGAGCGATCCTGGCACCCCTCAACACGTTGATCACTTGTCCGCGCGGGTGGCCGCCCACCGCCAGGCCCGCGAGCAGACCCGAGTCTTCCAATGAACCTCCCCTCAGGGCGCACACACCCACTTGCTCGGGATTAAAGCCCTTCATTGCTTCGCTGACTTCCCAGCACGCCTGCGTCACCAGTTGGGTCAGGAAATGCGCCTGGGGCAGCATGTGAGTATTCATCACTGAATAGAGGGCCCAGAAAGGGTCTTCCAACGGACCCAGGGTTCGGACCACCAAGGAAGGAAGAGCGGCCAGGACCTCGGCGAACGCGGCGGCAAAGGCCTCCCGGAGCTGCACGCGCCGCAGGCCGGCCCTCTGGAGGAGCTCCGCCTGCTCCAGCAGGGCCCCTGCCAGCAGGACCACGAAGGTCGAGCCGCAGCCCGCGTTCTCCGCCTGGCTCTGAGCTGCCTCCCGCAGGAGCCAGGCCGTCGGGTGCTCCAGCTCTAAGGCCTTGAGAATAGCCCCGGCATTGCTGGTGGAGATGGTTTCCCCCTTTGCCGTGACCAGGAGCTTCTGGCGCCCGCAGGGACCATAGCAGGGTCGGATGACATTAGCTAGTGTCAGGGCCGCTGCTGTACTGCTGCTCAGCAAGTTCTTGGCTCTCTCTTGGAAAGCCCCAGCGCCTGGCCTGACTGGTCTTGGGATCTGGGTCAGCAGCTCTGGCAGCTCCAGGACTGAGCGGTCTCTGGTGTCCTTTGCCTGTAGGGAAAAGGGAGATTACTATAAACTCCAGAGGCCCTCTAGAAACAGCACCCAGGGCACTCTAGTCGCTGGAATTGGAAGCTGTTCAAGAGTTCAGTGAAAATGAGCCCAAACTCCGTGAGTCTGCGATCTGGAGATGCCAAGCTGGATCTCAGCTCAGGTTCTGGGACACACAGTGAAAGATTTGCCTTCTGATCTGCTGATGGCTCACTCCCAAACCCATCCCCAAAATGGATTCTGTAAAGGAACCCACCTCCTGGACCCTCTCAAGCTTGGAAGCAAGACCTCCTCCAACACTATGCATAGGCCTCCTGGAGCTGGGCTCTGGGCAGGCTGGCCCTCGGCAGGAGCTGCCAGGAGGACCACTAAGGCCCAGCAGCCCACGTTCTCTGCCTGGGTCTGAGTTGCCTGCCACCAGGCCTTTGGGGGCTCCAGCTCTACGTCCTTGAGAATGGCCCTGAGAAAAACAAGATTTCTCCTGGATGATGTCACAATGTGGCAAGTGGAACCTGGGCCAGGCAGGGTCACAAAAGGATGGTTAGAATCAGGGTGGTTCTGCCCCTAACTAAAGTCGGGTCAACTTGTCCAACAATTTAGATAGTGATGACAAGTGGTGCCAACCTTTATAGTATCTTTTAACCACTCGAAATAATGAGGAATCAGGTGAGAATACATAACCTTTCTTAAATCCTCCTTCGTCTGTGGCTGCTGTTACTAAACTGAGGGATTTTCTTTTCTTGCAAGGCTGCACACCACTAGCTATGTCTTTGTTAGCTGTCTGCCTTGGTGGTTTTGACAATTTCTTAAAAGTTTGGGCCTGTTTATCAGATTCCTTACCATGTCTTTGTTGTTGTTGTTGTTAAGTGCCCTCGATTTGCAGGCAACTCACAGGGACCCTATGAAGGAAAGTCCTCGGCGCTTGGGTGCCTTTCATCCTCTCTCCAAGTTCATAGGGTTTCCGGAGGCAAGCTATTACGGAAGTGGATGCCACTCCTCCTTCCAAGCTTGTTTTAGTAGGGGAGCTCCACCCCACTCTCTGTCCACATTGGGTAGCCAACCATTAACACATTTGACACATCAGTGTCACAGTACCATGTCTTTAGTTCTGTGTTATCTTTCAGGCTGCCCGTGTGTGAGGCTGCTGCCTGTGCATCAACTCCTTGTAATGAAATCAACATCACTGAGGTAGCAAAGGCCAAGATGGGAGGGAAAGATGCCACAGCCTACAGATGTCCAAGTGCAATTGGACCCAGAGAAACAGAAAGTAACTGGCCTCCCAATAATCAGAGTGGAACTACCTCATAAAATGTCCAAGGTTGTAGTCTTTCCAGAAGTAGACAGCCACACCTTTTTTTTTTTTAAAATACAGAGCAACTAGTGGGTTTGAATTGCCCCTAAGCAATTAGTTAGCATTATTTAGTGGCTAAGTGGTTTAACTGTTGGGGCCACTAGGACCCCAGCCTCTATTATCTGCCTTGGTTATTATGGCATTTTAGAATGGTTTGTATTTTTTATGCTAATGAAGCAGGATTGATGTGTGTTTTATTTTCATCTATTTTGAGGTATCAAAGAGAATAAACTGGCAAGTAAGGAGAAGCAGAGATGAGAAAAGAGAGATACCAAGTCACATGAAGATTTCCCAGGAGCAGATCAATGGAGACAAGGGTCTTCCAGAGCCAAGAGAGCGTGAAGCTTTCCCTAATGGCCTAAACACTGAAATCGGACTTCTAACCTATTCAACTACAGAAATTGAATTTTTTTCATTGAGATTTTAATGAAAGTTTATAAAGAACTTGAATTTTCATTCATTCAAGGTTGCACATTTTCCTCCCTGCCTTCCCTCCAATTCACTTTTTTTTTCTTTTCTGGAAAAAAATTCTTTCATTGTTGTACAGGCCCCTCCCCCCAGACCACTTTGCTATGCAGCTCTTATTTTGGACTCTTGTCATGCCAATAATACCATATAATCATACCATATGTTGTTGTTATGTGCCGTCGAGTTGCTTGCGACTCATAGCAACCTTATGTACAACAGCCCTAAACTCCGCTCTGTCCTGTGCCAATCGCACTGTCTCTGACACTCCCATCCCAATTATCCCAGTCACTGAATCAATCCACCTCA